ATTAAATTGAATTAATACAAAAACAAAAATCACAAACTGTTACATCTGTGATAAACGGAGGATAAAACGTAAAACTGGCACATCAGTCAACTGTCGTGTGTAATTTAACAAAGTAATTTGACAGTAAAATTTAACCGAAACAAACTGAGAGTAAATTTATCACAGGTGTACCAGTTTAGGGTTTTTCGTGGTATTAACGCTATTATATATCATAAACATCACATAACATCTCATTGATTTACACATATGAGTTCATATTCGTCACTGGCCAAGACCATCTCGATTTACGAGGCATCATCACCACCAACTCATGGGGGACAGCAACATACATACCAATTTACCACGCCTCTTAACCTATCCATCACGGGTGTCCTCTACATTAGCGAGGATAAATACACTACCGTACATTCGCATGATGTTGACCATTTCTTAGCATCATACCATGGCTACAAAAGCCATGTCATCCATGACTACACGAGTCATGTCATCATATAATTTCATGTCATCTCAATCTTGTAGAGGACCGTCTCATACGATAGAATATCTAGCTAACTCCAGAGTCTCATATACATACTTGTACAAGGGAATTCGCTTGGTGGTGAATAGGCTATGACAAAGGTCTTAATGTAGCATTAAAGATATACACAGTTAATTACATCACTATAAACGCCACATATTTTCATAATTACGAATGAAAACAATTACACATTAATATCTTGGCATTTCACATAATGTACAAGACAATTGATTAATTATGCACCTTTCAATATAAAAACTTTCCTTGTCTTTTCACCAAGCCAACATCATTAAGAAGAGAACTTTTACAAGTTCTATAACATTAAACACTACTACTCCATAATTTAGTAACTCATCTAATATTCATTTATTTATTTATTTTTAAACCACCCTTGATTAAGCTCACTTTTACCACATATATTAGAGACTATTTCTATAGTTCCAAATTCTTAGACTTGGAATATTTTCCTAGTAAAATTTTGTAATTTTACCCCAAACTTTCGATTTTCAACCAACCAAGCCATAATAATTAAATTAAAAACTAAAGGATATTATTTTGTTCCTTAAAACACACAAACATTTTATTTACACTATAGACACCACAAATTTTACAAAATTTTCAAAATTGTCCACTTTTAGTTAATCATTACAAATTGCTCCAATTTTGCATAGTTAGACACATGTCCTAATTAAGCAATTATTTCTAAAAAAATAACTTAACCACTTATCAAAATGAGATTCCACATGCTGTGAACAGTCCCCAGAACTTCCAGTTTTTACAGATTTGCCCCTCAACTTGGTGAAATTACAAATTTGCCCCTAAAGCTTATAAACTCATTTTTTTAACTGGTTTGATTTCCTTTAATTAATATTACTTAAAAACCCACTAAATGACACTAAAAATCATAAAATAACATTGTTCACATCCCCTCTTTATTTCTGTAAATTCGAAATTATCCCTTACCTTGACAAGAAAAATTACCAAAATACCCCTTTTATGCCAAGTTTTACCATTTTCACACTTTTCCTACTCAAAATGCAACAAAACATTTTAGTAATCTCTCAAGGACCACCTCAGCATGTGAAAAGCTTTTTACTTCAAGCTCAACAATCACCATAGCTTAACATAAAACTATTGAAACTTGCTCACACATAGAATAAGATCCAAACTAAATAAACAAACAATCAATCAACCAAGCTCAAGAGTACTAAATAAATCATTCTAGCTTTGTCCTTAGAGTTTTCACTTAACTTAAAAATGACTTTATAACTCAAAACTTTGTCACCTCCACATAAATAAAACTGAAAATCAACAAATTCTTATTTTTAAAACGACGAAACCATAAGTAAAAAGTAGTATGGCTTAACAACTCACCTCGTCCTACTAGAAAGATTTGAGACATAAACTTTAATAACACAAGTGCGGGACCTCCACTTTTACTCGCGGAATTTGAAAAACGAAAGTTGAGGAGAAGTTGGAAGTTAAGGAAGTGATGTCTTTGCTTTTGTTCTCAAGACTTGAAAATGAAAGTAGGAAAAGGAAGTTGGTAAATAGAAGTAAATGATGAGAAGGATTTTGTTTTTGAGAAGGTGAAAGCTCGCCAAGATCAATACACTCGGCCAAGATAAAGATCGTACGAATGAGAAGATAAACCAAGGTTAAGATAATAAATGTCCTTGGGTTAAATCATTAGGTCTAAGAGATAGAAAAACGTGTGTTCTAATAAAAATGCTTTAGGTGGCCCTAAATGAGTAGCTAGGGTTATAAGTGTTCTAATAAGATGAACTTCAAGGAGATACATTGATTCAAATGAAGAAAACTCCTTCTCGGCCGAGCAAAGAGGGAATCAATCATCAATGCATTAATGAGCTAAGGTTATCCTAGATGATGTAATGCATGACATCATGGTTGGCCTAGTTCAATGTCTCTAGGAGCATATGATTTAAAATTTGGTTGAGCTTGAAGAGAGATGGCGCAAGTTAAAGAATAGCAAATAGTTCATCTTTGTGGTTTCCAAAGTAACTATTCTGTTAAATAATCAAAATATTTAATAGATCATTATGCGAACATAAAAATCAATACCCGTTCTAAATACTGATAAATCCGGAAAGTATTTTAAACTCACTAAAATTATTAGTGAACAATATCGAAAGCTTGGAAATCTCAATTCCGTAACTTAAAACTTGAAAATCATCAAGTAAGTAATTCGGAGTATCTTAGCCTTTGTCTACAACTAATATGGCGATAAATTAATTACAGTCTTTCTACGCCACAAACATACACACCAAAGCCTATCATCTTAATCCTAACGCATTAAACTTTGGGCGATTAAGTTGTGGATAATCGTTTTAAATATTATTACCAAACATGGAAAATTCTGAATGTCACAATTTGAATAGAAGTAAGATGTGCAATTGAAACAATGTCACATCATAGTTAATGCCATACTACTAAGTAAAAGCCTTTCGCTACCAGTCGAGCTTATAACGTCCCGCCATACAATCTACCTTAGTTTTGATTTATACACTCATTTACGATCGATAGCGTACTTTCCATGAGGCAATTCAACTAATCCAAGTATGAGATTTATCTTAATGCTTGCAACTCATTCGTGATTACTTGATTTTTTTCATTTTCTTCTTTCTTTTTTCCTGTTCTATTTTTTTCTTTTCATTAAAAAATAAACTCAAAAAAGAAAAAAGTTTGATCATTTTTTTTAATTTTTAATCTAATTTAACTAAAATTTATGTTAAAATTATTTTTGGACAAAAATACTCTTGATCGACCGGAAAAATTTGGCTAGCTGGCAAGGTTAGGCCCTTATTATTATTATTTTTTTTTGTCAAGAGGTTATGCCCTTATTTGAAACTGTTATAAATAGAGGTGAGCAGCGATCCAGGGTTAACCCTGGACCAACCCTAAATCGACCCAACCAGACTGGTCATTGGTCCTAGGACCCTCGAAACCTACACTGTGCAGGATGGTCCCCGATCCTGAAACTTTAGGATTGATCCAATCTAGACCAATCCTGTACGTATAAAATATATTTTATCCCCCCCCCCCCCCCCTCTTCTTTTTTTTTTCCTTTTAAGATAGAAAGTTAAAAACCCTATTGCCTCTCTTTTTTTTGGTCAAATGTTGCCTCTCTTTGCCGAGCTAAGTTCACTCACCTCTCTTCACCAATTCTCTTGCCTCTCCTCGCTTTCTTCAAGGACGCAGCTCAGCAACTGAGCCGGTGACATCGCTTGTGTCTCTTGGCGCATCACGAATGCAGCTCGCTCACCTCTCTTCCCTCGCCCCACGAGTGTAGCTCAGCTGGTGAGTTCCTAGTCGGTGCTTAATTTGAGAGCTTCAAGCTCGAGTGAGTTCTCGATTTATGCCGTGTATTTATTTTTCCACTTTCGCATCTCAGCTTGTGGTTGAACTGAGAGCTTCAAGCTCATGTGATATCCCAATTTGTGCTGTGTATTTATATTGCCCCTTTCGCTTCCCGGTTTATGCTTGATCAAAGAGCTTTATGCTCATTAGAAAAATCTTTTTTATTTTTGGCAAATAGAGATTTCTGTTGTTGCCTTATCTTAGATTTCTATTTGATTTATATCGGTGTTCATGGTTTAGTTGCTCAATATCGCATTGTAGATGTATATGTAATCTCAAATAGTGTGTTTGTCCTTTCAAGGAATACAAAAAATGCAACAAAAAAAAGAATCAATTAGTCCTGTGTTGACCCTAGAATCAAACCGAACCCATAGGGTCAGTCTAGTCCTCGATCCCAAGCTTTATAGGGTTGGTCCCCGGTCCCAAAAATTGGGGACCAACACTATGCGGGTTGATCATTAGGTTAGATGCTAGTCCGGCCTAACCCGGACCATGCTTACCCCTAGTTATAGCCACATCAAGCCCTTATTTGAGAAAAATAATGGCATTTCAGGCCCATATTTGAAACAAGCTCCGCTTGAGACCCTTATTTGAAATTATGAAGGCACTTCATACCTTTATTTGAAATTTTCGCTAAGGGTTTTGATGATTGCAAGAAATACACATGCATACGTATAGATCGAAACATTGCCATTTCGAAGCATCCACACTCCGGTTGAAACTTTTCTAAGATTTGAGCTCCATTTGTTTCGCAAAAAATGAATGATTTGGAAAACATTTTTCTAAAATTGATCGTCTGTATTGCTTGAAATAATTAATCAATGGAAAATGTTTTTATTATCGACAATAATTTATGTTTAAATATTTTCGTGCACAACAAAAACATTTTACATATATATATTTTTGTAAGTGATACGAATAATCATTTTTAAGAAAATATTTTTCAAATTATTTATTTTCCACGAAACAAATGGAGCATTAATAACTGTAAGTTTTTTTCCCAATACTAGCTTCAAGTATGTACAATCACTATAGTCTAAATATATTTGTGTTACGATAGGTTGAATTCTACTTCATTTAATCTCGACATTCCGGTTTCGTCTAGTTTGCAAATTTAGTGTTCTTGATTGAGTTTCCTGCTTAATGTCAGCGTTGAGTTCATTAGCACATTCAACAGTAGAGTAGACAGCAGGGAGAGGGACATAATATTTACATTCTTCTGTAATGGAGATGATTTCCCCAGTATGTTTTTATCCGAACCTCCGCTGCTCTCACTCTTGAATCCAAGGATTCTGCGGCCGTGACAGGGTATCTTCAGAATCTCAACGGTAATATTCGACAGCCGCGCTATTACCAGCAGTTTCTTCTCCTCATTTCAACCGAGAGAGGTAGCCGCTGTTATCATTGGACGTGGATGAATCTTGGGAGAGGCTGCATCAGTGGCAACTCGTTTTCTTGATCAGTCGTCTCCAGCAACAAGTGAGGAACCTAAAGAAGAAAACTGTTGGATAAATTTATGTGGTGACTGGTGATTGTAAAGAGAAGCAGAGCATTACATCGCGTGAGTTAGTCGTATGGTGCCTCTGTTTCCGGCAGTTTTATTTCAAAATCATAAGAAGCAGCTAGGAAATCAAACAGTGACATACTACTCCAATTTTCTCTTTAGAACTTGACGCATAGAGCCATACTATGATGGAATAACAGCTATGAGAAATCGAAGAATAAATCATCTAGTGACCTGTTGATGGCGCCGCTGGATGGCAGAAAATGCTTTGACCATAATGAACACAAGTAACTGCGATCAAAGTAACTTGTCAGCACCTTTTTAATGTCATCAATTTTAAGTTAGAAGAAACAGTTCTTCTGACAAGCCTCACCGTGAACAATGTCAGCGAGTAATCTCCGGCTCCAATAAGCACAATTGGTAAAGTGTGCTTCAGGACTAGAAGAACCATAAACTGTCAAACAGCAAAAAGTAATTTCTTTGGCTCAACACCGCTGTTTCATCCAAGCCAGGAGGTGTTTTAATCCGCTTATCCTAGCTTAAATGGGAGAAAATAGAAGAAAGTTTGTAGATTGATATGCCCAGCCTTTTTTTTCGTAAAATGAATTCATACCAAGCATAAAATGCTGGAAATAAAATAACTAGATATTGTAGATGTGCAACAGTAACTTGCATGACTTGCACCAATGTAAATGTTGGTAAGATCAAGTAAGGGGGGAATTATCTGTTGAACTAGTACTATACTTGACTCAAAATACTGCAAATTTCATTGTATAGCATCTTCTGAATGAGAAAGAAGAAACAATTGAATAAAAAATAAGAGCAAATGTGACTATCTAACATGAACAGCTTCAAAGAAGCGTGTAATTTAAGCCCAACTAGAGTTCTTGTGGGATAGGTACATTCACCTCCAATAAACACATAGCGATATTAATTGAAGCATAAACGGTTTCTAGTGTAAAGCTTCAGCTTGAATACCTCCTCAAAAGAGGGGTAGACAACTGTTGGAATATGATTGAGGCAGTAATAAATAAGGGAATAGATGGACATGTCAATGAGAAGCTTGAAGAAGAGACAAGAGAGGACAGCCAAAGAGCTGGATGGGCAAATAGTCTGCTGAAATAGTTTTTTGTTCCTTAACCGGAAACAGAAGTTCTATGAGAGACATTGCAAGATACCACCTGTGCACGGCTTGAACAAAACTACTTAAGATTTGGGTACGGCTCATGAACAAATTGAGGTTGGGCCCAGAATTCATCTACTAGCCACTCGACAACAAAGTCTCCACACAGAAATCTTGAGCATATGCCGTTTTTCCTCCATGTCTTTAGTTCCAAAAGAATAATAATCAATTTCTTTCAATTAATTTCTCTGTGTTTCAGGAAAAAAAAATTTGCACCCTGAAGAGCCCTTAGAGAGATCGTGATTACTCTGCTTAATCATACGCCATATTTTTGAAATGTTAACAACTTGTCTGCTATCTATGTTCCTTTTAGTCTATTTTACCGTGGATGAAAGACAGAAAATAAATCCCTTACCAAAAAAAAAAAAAAAAGACAGAAAATAAATCCATCTGAGTTGTAAGTAGTATAATAAAAGCCAAGATGCCCCTGAAATTGTGATGAGTTCTTCAATACAAATTCAATAAGGTCCATGTTTTCTGACAGAAATATCGGCATTATTAATTCCTGCTAATTCTATTCAAGTATATGTTTATATGTATAATGGACTACATTATATGGTATGTGTGTGTGTAGAGAGAGAGAGAGAGAGAGAGAGAGAGAGAGAGAGAGAGAGAGAGAGAGAGAGTACAATTATGGTAACTATGCGGAAGCACATCAACCCCCCAGGAGATGTAGTTGAGTAATCCTCAAAGTCAGTATCTGAAAAATCATTATCAGAAGAAACCATTGCTATGGATCGTGGGTCGAGCAGATCCCTTCTGGTAATTCCCCAAGTATCCCTGAAAAGATACGCTTAACATATACTAAATAATCTACTTGTAATAGGGGAATTCCTATTTTGCTAGACTTAAGAACAACAATTGGAGGACACATAAAATTTTAGTCAGGCATAGAAACATTTAAATATGATACCTGAAGCTCAACGGAAGACTTCGATGCGGGAATAGAGGAGGTGGTGCTGTATAGTTAGGTGTGAATTGCTACAGTCTCATGGAATTTGTAATCACTTTCTTTAATTAGATAAACTCTTGAGACTTTTCTTTAGATAAATCGCAAGTTCTGATAAGAATTAGCGAACCTGGCGGCAAATCTCACAGGTGGTGTCACCCTTCGCGCTGCACCATCTCTGGACACAGTTGCGGTGAGCATACTGAATTTAACCAGAAAAGGCACAGTTTAATCAAAGCCAGAGTATTGCAGCAAGAAATTTAATAAGAAAAAGGGAAATCACAAGATTCCTGCTGCTCTGGTTAGTCACAGATGCTGAATTGTGGAGCACAGGAGGAGAAAAAAGTACAACTTCACAAAGTTATACTCTCTTAACCATTCACACCATGGAAAAAAGAAGGCATGATCACAACAAGTATGAAGCGATGGATGTAATGCATATACCAAGTGTTGGATATTATTGCAGACTGAATCTCAAGAAATAATCTCCATGAGTCAAGAGTAAAAGATCAATGCAGCTATGGATGAGCATCTAGTTGCGTAGAACATTTGCCAAGCAAAAAAGAAAGAAGAGTAGAACATCCACAAAACCTAAGTCCCTTCCTTCTTATGTGTGGTCTACATAGTCAAAACTGTCCTATACTTCACTATGTTATTGTTCTGTGCCTTTTCTTTCAATCCAAATGCTTTCAGTCTCCAATCTAAACCATGGCCGGCACACACAACCACTACAAAGTGATATTGCAAAGCTCAATCAGTGAACTGTGGCTTTAGTGATCAACTTAACAGATTTTTTTAGTTTGTGCTCCTAACAAAGTTACCAGAGAACCTAACCACCAGATCACTTGAAAATGTGCTGAAACATCCAAAAAAGGGGACCTCTCTGCAATCTGCAAATCGAACTGCATCTGACCTTTAACCTACCGCAGCACGCACACGGTGTTTCCATATTTGAGTTTTCATCCTCATCATGGCAAATCCTACACTGCACCAACTCCCTCGGAGTGGAGAGGATTGTCATGTTCGTATCAGCTGTAGATTCTTTATTTGGAGACATCAACACCTGCCGAATCCTGTCCTCACTCTCAATAGCAGCTTCTAAGGTAGCGTCAGTAGTTAACCGATTCACGAGCAACACGAAATGGTCCCCCATCCCTAAAAAGCTGTTTCCCACAAACAGATCTTCTAGATTCAAGCAGAACCTTCTAAACCAACTTGAAATAGATAAAACCTTAATGAGTTCCCTGCATCAGAATATCAAAACTTCAGTATCATTATGAAGTGCAAAAGAGGAACAGCTTATTAATTATTATTAGTAAGTCGGCACCATGTCTGGAGGACACCGATCCATCATGGAAATGACCACATTGCTGTGACATTCTCATTTTTGCCATGGCATGGAAGGACAATTAACTTGAATAGAAAAAGATCTCAGAAAAATGAAGAGAAGTTTCTGTTGGGTATCTTTTCATCGACTACTACTGTTTCTGTTTCCACAATCAATTCTGTGAGGTGAGCTGGATCATTACAATTTGACGTGAAATTTGAAAAGCATTTAAGGAAGCTGAATTATATACAAACCAATAAAGAGCAAAACAATGTAAGTGTGACAATCTGTTTTGATGGTTATTCAGAAGTTAAATGGTGTGGAACAAGCGCTACACAGTAAGGCATATTATACGAATGAACACAACCACCAACACGTTTCTGATAATTAAGCCAGAACAAAACAACCACCAACACGTTTCCCATTGTTAAGCCAATACAAGACAGCATCACATAAAAGCATTGAGCAATGGTCAAGCACCAAAAGACTACAAGGACCGCAGAGAATGTGCTACCGGGACATCAACAGGTACAGTCGCATTAAACGTACAGCAATCTATCTTAGTATCGATGCCGCATTAAAGTTGGAAAAATCACCATCAAAGCAAAAATGAACGAGCACTGCAGAAACCTTACGCATAACATGATGTTTAGAGAAGATCAAAAGTGGATTTACCTCACACATCTGAATTCTGGAATGGCGACCCATCTTCATTTTGCTTAAACCTTTATGGAAGAAGGAGCAAAAAAAAAGGGATCCAAATAAGACGAAGGTAGGAGGGAAAGAAATGAAAGGAAAAAAAGCAACAAAGGGCAGATATTAAAAGCAAGAAATGAGGCTGAATCTAGAAAAGAAAATCGAAAGTGACGGAAAAGATAACAAGAAAGCTGCAAAAGAACCCACTATTTCATCCTCATATTCCCATGCTCTGTACTCCAATGAATGTACGGGAGAGAGAGTCAGCGAGAGAGAGCGAGAGAGAAGCAGCTTGCGAAAAGCTAAACCGATATAGGAATGGTTTTGATCAACATGCGAGGAAGGTCGAACGCGCAAGAAAGAGAGGCTTCTTGCAGGGAAAGGAAATGGGGTGCCCGCAAGATGAAGGACGCAAGCAACGTTCCATTCTCTCTTTCCCTTCCTTCCTTTCCTTCGATGCACTGTCTTTGTCTCCCCCAAAGAAAGAGATGGAGTGTCCCCTCCCCCATTATCACATACCCATCTCCTGAAACAACGTCACTATGCTCGTGCTCAGGTACTTTGCGCTACGTCTTTGTTGAATGCGTCTGAATCTCTCTTTTGTGCGCGTGTTTCGGGTTAATTCGCGAGCAAACGACGGAAAGCTAAGGGAGGGAAAGGCGATACAGATTCTATTCCCATAGGGTGCATCACGTTCCCACGTATCATTTTTTTGTTTGTGAGAAATAACCTTTCTCATTCGTTTAGATAAAATGGAAGGATACATAGCTAAAGCTTGAGGTGGATAAGTAATCCAATTTCTGGTCTGGATAGGTTCTTTCTCCTTTGGGCTTTTACAACTCAGTCCACAACTTCATTGGACTCCCTAAAGCAATGGGCCAGTTGGAGATTTGAAAAGCACATCCGCATATCACTTGATTCATTGATAAGAGCTCTAACCTCCCGCTTCGGTTGAGCCATGCCTAAGAAAGCACAGATTAGTTCACGACAATCAGATTTCAAAATTAGGCTTTCTCCACTTCATGCGAGAAGAAATTTCATGGTTTCAACCAACGCCAATGACTCCACCTGCGCAGCCGAGGCGACATGCACAGATTTGGCGAATGCATCAACGAGGCGGCCAGTGTAGTCTCTACAAACATACACAATTGCTCCTTCAAATGTTTCTTCAACAAAAGACCCATCAATGTTCACTTTGAGCGTACCATTTGCGAGCCAAGAAGAGGATGGCCCCACTCGCTCTTTCTTCCTTGAGTCGGGAATCCTATCTCTCGTGATTAGCCCATACCGGCCCGTTTTGGCTCGGTCCAATTCGGTACCGGGCCAAGACATTGTTTGTTAGTTGGGGCAAATCCAAAAATTTTGTCGATTAAAAACAGCCAATGCAACATTTTTGTAATTGATAAAATAGAATGAAGAGTACAACTCCAATAAATTTGTGAGAAAACAACCAATTCAATTCAAGTGCTTCTTACGACCAAAAAAAAAATTCAAGTGCTTCTTCATCATAGACCAAAACAAAATGCTTCTTCGTCTATGACCAAATTAAAAATTGCTTCTTCATCAAATTTGTTGTTGTGAGGGGGGGGTGCGAATTTTTCTGAAAACATACATTAGTATATGCTTTTTACAATCAATGGCGGCAATTACCCCAGCCTAGGTTGATACATTTGATCTTGATCCTAGTAAGTTGAAAAAGGACACCACAGGATTTGCCCCAATCCCACATATCCCCTTATAAAATTCATTGATGGCTTGTTCTTAGTAAAAGATAGGTTGGGTTTGAATTTGGAGAGGAACCGATTGAATTTTCATGGTAAATGCTATTGTCTATTATCTTTCAAGCAAAAGAGAGAACGGTTATGCGGATTTTAGCTGCTGGTCCCTAGCGTTCGTCTGTTGGTGCTTCCATAGTGCACTTGCGCGCTCAATCCCACACAAATATTATTATAAATAATACCCATATAATCATTTCTCTCTTCGTAGACTCTGCCTGAAGATGGAGCTTGAGCTCAAGCTGCATTTTCTTCATACTTTGTAATAGAGTCAAGTCAAGTTGAGCTCGAGTATTTCGTTTTCCTATTCGAGTCGAGCTCAAGCAAAGATTTGGTCACCGAATTTACTTCGAGTCGAGTTTCAAGTACCGAATATACTAGTCGAGGAACTCGAGCTTGGCATCTTATATGTTCCACTCGACTCAACTCGATTACACCTCTAGCTACCAAATGCATTTTAAATTTATAGAAACTAACAAGGCTTTAATCTTCCAAACCCAAACAAAGAATAGTGGCACCACATGCTCAATCGGGCAATATCAGAAAGCCGAGATGAACGAAAAAGATGAGCTCATGGCCAACATCTCAATGGACCCCTTCTGCTCAAATTTCAACTGGAAGACAGAAGCCACTTGAAGTAGACAGTCAGGTACACGAACAGAGAGACCAAAGAAAACACATGCTGCCAGAACAGAAGCGCCGAGGCCTCACTCACGGCGTAGCCCCTCAGGCTCGCGATCGCCCCGAGCAACATGGCGGTCGGCGTCATGTACTGCAGCAGGAGCACGAACTTGTAGAGCTCATCCCCTGGCATCAACAAGCCCCATCTGTCGGCCAAGAGTACTACACCAATGCCCAGCAGGGGAAGCACCAGCAGCCGGGCGACCAGGATCCCAACAGTGGTGCGGAGGCCGAGTCCCGACTTGTTGGGACCCTCAGCTAGCATTCCCCCGAGGACGAGCATCGCCGAGGGAACCATCGCGCCCGCCATGATGTCCAAACTGTACGTGAGGAAGCCAAGCGCCACGTCATCTCCAAAGCATAAGTCCTTGAGTTTAGGAATCATCCCTACAAGTATAGCTAAGATAGATGCTATGATTGCGGGTTGAAGGATGTGGTGAATCGGGGTCTTCTTGGCGACGATTCTGATCTTCCTAATCACCTTCGCCTCAGCTAAGCACCTCACAGACTTCGGACTGCTTTCACCACTGTCCTCTGACGGATAGGATTCTGGAAGTGCGGTGTGCGAAAAGCCCGAAAAGCTATTGAACAGCCTTGCAATGAGGGGTGTCTTGCAATGCTCGGTCTCTTTATCTTCAATTCCAGGCCATTCCGCTTCGACTAGGAGCGGCCTGCTTAGATCGTTTGCGTGTGCATCCCCATTGAATGATGGTCTATCCACATCTACTTCGGTTATGTCCTGGATCTCGACTCCATCATCGACAACCTCGTAGAACTCCAGAGGTGGCTCCATCATGTGGTACACCAGAGTGTAGACCAACAGGACCGACACCCACTGCGAGAACGAGACATAGGCCACAGCGGGGCCATAGCATTCCGGACCGAACGGGTTCTCCACATTGTGACACACGGACGAAACAATCGCAAGAGGAAGATTGCCCGTGTTCCCAAACGCGGTCATGATCACAGTGAACCGGAAGAATTCGGGCGGCGGTCGGCATATCAGTGCTACCGTGAACCCCAGGACGCACCCGATGCCAGTGCTGAGTACGATGTTGACGGGAATGAACCACCACCGTAGGATGCTCTTGTACGAAATGCAGGGGCCAAGGTGGGTGAATATTAAGCAGGGCAAGAACAGAGCGAACACGAGCTTGCTGAGCAGCCTGAAAGTGGACTTAGGGACAATTTTGAATCTTGGGTGAGCGAGGAGGAGACCGATTAGCGTTATAGTGAGGAGCTTCAACAATGGCAACACTGCGTTAAGGAAGCCGTGCGATCCAGAATTCATGGTCTCACGCAGTGAGGCCAAGAGATTCGCCATTTCTCAAATCTTCTTCTGTATGGGAAGACTTGTAGTTTCAGAAGGAAACTTCCTCGAAATGTGGAGTCTCACGAGTCTGACATTCAGAAAACGCCACTGGCTTTTCACCTGTGGTAGATCGAGGAGGAGAAAGAACAGAGTGGGATCGAAAAATTCAGAAGAATGGGAATTCAGAATATTCCAGGAAATTTCCGGGACTGATCAAGAAATGGAGGTCCACTCGTCAGGCCTTCGACCCTGTTAGCAAGAACAGAGTCAGGGACAGAGGTACTTGCCATTTTTAAAGAACCATCAATGACGACCCCAAGGCATTTTTTGTGTTAGTGATATATACTTGCAATAGTTTGTCTGTAAGACCTTTTAAATGACTCTGATGAATCTTGCCTCCGTAAATCCATGGATTGCATTGTAGATCTGCATTCTAGTTTGAGTTGTGCCTTTTCTTAAACAGACTAAAGAGCTGAGAGCTTAGACAAGTTTTTATGCTATCAACTATGGATATCGTTACGCAGAAGAACATTTCATTAACCTACTCTTGTACACTTTTGAATGAACTCCTTTTTACCTTCTAACCTACAACGCTATGTTATAGCCACTTGACACTTTTGGATTGCTTCTAGTATCTTGTTGGCCTTTCTGATTCCTTTAGATGTTCCTTAAAGATCCCTCTGTTTTAGTGCGTAAAGCTATAATGCTAGTTATCTTTCATTGCGGAATTTAGGATTCTCCGTATCCTATTATTGCTGTTATAGAGAGAGTAGCATTAGGTGGACTTAAATTGGCCCTATCCTGTGACCTTCGAATATGTAGTATCAGCTCTTCATCTACCTTCGACGTCAACCTCATTTTAATATAAACTTTGGGTTCCTCATAAATCAGATATCCCTCATTGACAGGAGATGATGCGGTTCTGGGCTTGCCTGAAACAGGACTTTGCCATAATTCCGGGGTATTACGCAATTTTGTTAACTTGCATCACTCATCTTTTCTAATGGCACTGCTTTTCTGTATGAAGCAGATCCATTTTCTAGGTGGTTAATCAAATATATGACAATCAAGGACATTAAAATAAGAATTGGAAATCGGTAGGCAGGACTTGGACTGGCAAGGCAGGTCATCATCTGCGTCAACATTTGTGACAATCTACATATTCTTGGGCAAATTATCTTAACTAAGAAGCGGCTCTCCACAGTTAGGAATTGGATGATTTAAATCCGGCGTTTGCTGATATTCTTCAGTACTTTAAGAGCCACCAAGTCTTTTCTCCACTTCGTACATATCTGTGCTTCATATGTTGAGCTCATTGTATAAGGTCTGACGCAATTATTTCGTCCGCATTCGCATTATTTCGTCCTTTTTGTCTTCTTTAGAAGCACCTTTCTCATGAACTGCAATCATTGGTTATACTCTGTGATGGTTCTGCAGAAGATCTTGGTTTTCACATACCAGATTAAGAGTATGGAATAACCGGTGTTGCATATTCTTCCTTCTGTGTAAATGAATATCATCAAACTATAATCTTGATATTCACTTAATTGGGGTTCTATATTCTCAATTGCTTTTTGACCTTTTCGAACCTTGGCTCTTCATCTTTGCTAATTCTTACAGTTGCCGGCTTTTCCAGAGGCTCCGTACGTTTGGGGGGCAAGACATTTGAGCTGTTGAACTCGGTCGACAAAGCTTTTCTTTTTCTCCCGAGGAACATGCCCACGTCCTTGGGGTAGTTCAATTGTTCGTGTTCGCCGAGTCTCCAACATTGCATTTTTGTCTTGTGAACTAGATGTTTGGCTATGGAGTGGTTCAATCGTTGGCGTCAGGCAATTCTCCACCGTAACATGATCAGTCCGCAAGCTGGATGTTTGGCCATACCGCAACCAACAGATTGCATGAGATCAATTTAATCAAAGGACTCGACTAAGGCATGATCCTCTCTCATGACAAACATCAGCGGTTTCATTTCTAAAATTGTCTGGAATCTCCATAACGGAATGACTTTTCCACTTCTTTGCATGGTCTTGTTTGTTATTTCATGGCATCAACAAGCAAATCCCGATAAGCACATTTTGTGAGGACTTACCAGTGGAGGAACTGTGGAAACCTTTGTGCGGTCGGTGATTGCTCCTCTCAAGTTAGGCATTGAATTTGATTTCTCTATGGCATGTTCAATTGCTGAGTTGGATGACACGTAACAGTTGACAAATGTACTAGTTTGGGGGTTTTCGTGGTATTTATCCAATTTAACGAAAACTAACGAAAGGTAAATTTGTTATAAATGTACCAGTTTGGGGTTTATCGTGGTATCAACCCTAAATTAAATAAATTCACCTCCCTCACTAATAACTAAGGTCAAAATCATATAGCACGAGTAATCTATCTGAAGCTAGAAAGAGCAATATTCTTTATTTCTTCAAATAACAAATCATAACGAACGACCAGCACGAAAGATCTACCTTCTCTTCACAACATTATCAGTCACGAACAGATTACCAACATTTGCTACGGTAATTCACCAACTAGTGCTAGTGGATTTATTCCAGCTAGTTCATACAGTCGAGCAGTTTCAAGTTGAATTCTCTCCTATAGGTAGATATTGGAGAACAACACAAATGTCAATTAAAGATTGACTACATAAATAACAGGCCATAGCTCTGATTAGAGGTGTCAAAATGGGTCTTAAACCCATATATGACCCATTTTAAAATAAATAGATCATATATGGGTCACTTTAATTTTAAAGAGTCAATCTTAAATGGATTTTAAATTTTAAAGTTTAAAGATAAATGGGTCTAAATGGGTTAAGTTTGGAACCCATGTCCAACCCACCCACTAGACCCATCCACACACTCTCTCCCTCTTTACAAAGATGTTTAAAAAAATCAAAATTTAATTATTTTTATTTTTTCTCTTTTTCTTTTATTTTTTCTTTTTTCCTTTCTCTTCTTTCTTTTTCTTTTTTTTTTATTTCGGCCGGTGGTCGGCCACTGCGACCGACCACCGGGGCGGGACGACCTCGCCGGAGGCCGGCGAAGCTCGAGGTCGCCGGCCTCGGGCGAGCTCAACCTCGCCGGATCTGGCGAGGTGGAGCCTCGCCCGAGGCCGGCGAGCTCGAGTCTCGCCAGATCGGCGAGCATGGAGCCTCGCCAGATCGGCGAGCTCGTCCTCGCCTGTGGTCGATCGCCGGCCACGGCGGCCGGCAATCAGCCAAAAATAAAGGAAAAAGAAAAAAAAGAAAAAAATAATAATTAAAAATTCAATTTAAAAAATAAAAAAATTAATATTATTAAAATGAATGCACAAAGTAAAATCAAATCAGATTTTATATACCAAATATCGAAAAATATTTTCTAGTTTATTTTCAGGTTTTAGCCAAACGTCAGAATTTTTTTTTATTTTCTTGGATAATAACTTTATGGAAAATATTTTCTAGAAATGTCACATTTTTCGTAAAACAAACAGAACCTCAATTTTAAAAAAATTATAAAAAAATTTCACTAGCTTTGTATTGCATAAAATGTTTTAGCAGTATAATTTTAAAAAAAAATCATAAGAAACAAGTATTCCTACATTAGGTTAAATATAAAAGTGTTTTAGCAATATGGGTCGGGTCGGGTATGGGTTGTGTATGGGTCGGGTCGGATATGAGTTGGAATATTTACACTATGAATAAATGGGTCATAAACAGGTTAATGGGTCAATTTGGGTCGGACCATTTATGACCCGACCCAAACCCGACCCGACCCGACCCGACCCGATCCGACCCACCCGTTTAACAGGTCTATCTCTGATGGAACCCTGAAAAAGTGATGAAAGAAGGATAAAACAATTTTAAATACTCATTTACATTGCTGTACAAAAAAGAAAGAAAGAAAGAAAAACAACTTTGCCACAAATAGATGTGGCCCAGGCACTTCATATTACCACCCACATATGGGTTAAAAGACCAAGGATGTGATAGGCACGGTACCATTCTGTCGTGTATAACTAGTTCAAGTGATTTTAGATAAAATTCGTGGGGGACATTATTGGAAATTCTTCTGAAACAATAATATTAATGTATGAATTTACAATCGGCGGCGGCAATTGCCCTGAACCTACGCCGTGTGGGTCCGTTCTTGAATGATTCATTTGATTTTGATCCTTGTAAATTGAAAAGGGGCACCAATAGTGTCAGCTCGTCTATTGGTGTTTCCCATCGTGCACTTGCATACTCAATCCCACACAATAATTTTGTCAATAACACATAAATAATCATTTTTCTCTTCACAAGCTCTGCCCGAAGATGGAGCTTGAGCTCAAGCTAAAGTATCTTCATACTATGTAATTGAGTTGAGTCGAGTCAAGTCGAATTAAGCACCGAGTATACTAGTCGATGAACTCGAGCTTGGCATCTTATATGTTCGACTCGACCCGACTCGATTACACCTCTAATTATTATCTACATTTTTTCGAATTGAGAATTGGAAAAATTTATAGAAACTAAAGAGGCCTAATCTTCCAAACCCAAACAAAGAATATTGGCACCACATGCCTGTGAAATTACATCAACTGGATCGCGAGATGAACAAACAAAAATAAGCTCAAGGCCAACACCTCAAAAGGACCCTTTCGCACAAATCTCAACCGGAAGACAGAAGCCACTTGAAGTAGACGGTCAGGTACACGGACAGAGAGACCAAAGCCAACACATGCTGCCAGAAGAGAAGCGATGAGGCCTCGCTCACGCCGTAGCCCCTCAGGCTCGCGATCGCCCCGAGCAAGATGGCGCTCGGCGTCGTGTACTGCAGCAGGAGCACGAACTTGTAGAGCTCATCCCCGGCCATCAGCAAGCCCCATCTATCGGCCAAGAGTACTACACCAATGCCCAGCAGGGGAAGCACCAGCAGCCGGGCGACCATGATCCCGATCGAGGTGCGGAGACCGAGCCTTGACTCGTTGGGGCCCTCGGTGAGCATTCCCCCGAGGACGAGCATCGCCGAGGGCACCATCGCACCCGCCATGATGTCCAAACTGTCCGTAAGGAAGCCAAGCACCGCATCGTCTCCGAAGCATAAGTCCTTGAGTTTAGGAATCATCCCTACAAATATTGCTAAGAGAGATGCTATGATTGCGGGTTGAAGGATGTGGTGAATCGGGGTCTTCTCGGCGACGATTCTGATCTTCCTAATCACCTTCGCCTCAGCTAAGCACCTCATGGACTTTGGGCTGTTTTCACTGCCGAACTCCGGCGGATCGAGTTCTGGAAGTGCGGTGTGCGAAAAGCCGGGCATGCTATTGAACAGCCTTGCAATTAAGGGTGTCTTGCAATGCTCGGTCTCTTTATCTTCAATTCCAGGCCATTCGGCTTCGACTAGGAGCGGCCTGCTTAGATCGTTGGCCTGTGCGTCCCCATGGATTGACTGTCTATCCAAATCTTCTTCGGTTATCTCCTGTATCTCGACTCTATCATCAATGACCTCGTAGAACTCCAGTGGTGGCTCCATCATGTGGTACACGAGAGTGTAGACCAACAGGACCGAGACCCACTGCGAGAAGGAGACATAGGCCACAGCAGGGCCATAGCAATCGGGACCGAACGGGTTCTCCACATTGTGACACACCGACGAAACGACTGCTAGAGGAAGATTGCCCGTGTTCCCAAACGCGGTCATGATCACAGTGAACCGGAAGAATTCAGGCGGGGGTCGGCATATCAGCGCGACCGCGAACCCCAGGACGCACCCGATGCCGGTGCTGATTACGATGTTCACAGGAATGAACCACCACCGGACAATGCTCTTGTACGAAATGCAGGGGCCAAGATGGGTGAAGATCAAGCAGGGCAAGAACAGAGCGAACACGAGCTTGCTGAGCAGCCTGAAAGTGGACTTAGGGGCGATTTTGAATCTCGGGTGGGCGAGCAGGAGACCGATTAGCGTTATGGTGAGGAGCTTCAACAACGGCAACACTGCATTGAGCACGTCGTGCGATCCAGAATTCATGGTCCCGCGCAGTGAGGCCAACAGATTGGCCATTTCAGTAAGGAAACTTCCTCAAAATGTGGAGTCTCACGAGTCTTGACATTCAGAAAACGCCACTGGCTCTTCACTTGTGGCAGATCAAGGAGGAGGAGGAAGAACAGAGCGGGATCGAAAAGTTCAGAAGAACTCGACCTGGGATTTCAGAAAGCAAGAAATGGAGGTCCAGTCGTGACACTGTTGGCAAGAACAGAGACAGACAGAGACAGAGGTACTTGGTGATGGCGACGAACTGAAGAACGCTATTTGAAGGCTTCAATGAAGAAGATGATGAGACGAGGGACTCGCAATAATTGATTTAAAGACAAAGTCTCTTCAGTTACCAATCTGATGCAGATGAGCTGACGATATCTGTGGTGTGCTTCAAGATCATCCAAAGTCCAAGGCACAGAAGGTCCTGAATTATTAATGTAATATCTAATCAGGTCCCTCAATTATTTTTTTTATGCAATTGGGTCCTTAAAGCTATAGCCTTTTCGTCGGAGCTGGTCCTTCCGTCAAATTTGCAGACGGAAACCAAAAATCCTATATGTCAATCTCCATCTCCATCTCGGAATCGAATCGAAGTTTTAATGGTAATTCATTGTCGTGCCAGCATGTTTATTTCTTTTTAATCAGAAGGACCAATTCGAACAAAGAAAACATATAATTTAAAGACTCGTTATACAAAATAAAATAGTTGAAAGATCATATTGAACATTTTACAATATAGTTGGAAGATCTTAGGTGCCTTGTGTAAAAATCCGTTCTGTCTCTACATTAATTTGATTTGGAAGCGTTCAGCTCATGAATTGCCGTTAGGTCTTTTCTGGCTTTGCACCGGCTTGGCTTCCTTGGCAGCTCGTGAAACTACTCTCCTTTCTCAGGGATTTTCTAACCCTGACTTTGCAAGACAGCAATGAAATTATGTTGTTCTTGTCTCTATTCTATGTTGCTGTGTTCTGTCAGATGTTCCATGTTGCAACTAACGTGGTATCTTTTCCATCTTCCGATCTTCTGCCCAAAAGAAGTAAAAGAATAGACAATGACACAAATAATCCCTACATTTTAATTCAAAATGTAATGTGATCCCTAAAATTGATCCTTGAATTTTAATCAAATGTACAATATCATGCCTGAACTTTTAATTTGTTCAATCTGACTTTGAGTACACGTTCAAGTTAGTTCTTCAACTCTATGAAAAGATTGAATGTTATCCTTCTATTAATTTAAGTTTAGGGATAATATTGAACATTGTCATATATTTCATTGACTCTATTAAATATGTACCAAAAGTTCACGGATCAAATTGAAAGTTCATGAATAACATTACACATTAGGTTACAGTTCAAGGACCACATTGAACAAATTGAAAGTTTAGGGATCACATTGCACATTGGGACCATTTGTGTCATCTCTCGAAAAGAAAAAAAGGGCTAGTTTTTGTAACTCATGGCCAAAATAGATAAAATAGAAAAACATCTTTTTTGGTCAGGCATAAGAGTAAGTTTGTCTCTTCGGTTCTCTCATAGGCTAGCCATTTCAATCTAGATCAGGAAATTTCTGAAAAAAGATTAAACTTTTTCGTGACTAACTCCTTAGATAATTCGTTAAATAGCTCATGTAGTTTCCCGTGCTTGATAGGACGTAAATTCTCAATTATGTTTTGTTATTTGAGAATGCTTTGAATTGTTATGTCAATGAAGATAAAAGTGTGAAACATAATCAGTATCGTCAAGTATAAATGTTGTTTAACTTGTCTCCTTTTACAGTTTACTATTCTCTCTAGTGTATGTACTCATTTATTTGGGGGGGGGGGGGGGGGTCGGTAATATATTCATATTTCATCCAGGTAAATTTTTGGTGTAATTTCGAATCTTGAACCCGTCTGCATTTCTCTATGTGTAATTTTAATAAAGCTTGCAATATACAAATATTTATTTAAAAATAACTATAAAGAATTAAGCATAAATAAAATTAGAATTCCCTTGAATTTTTATTAATTTTTTGTCGATTTATTATAATACATCTTGCGAATTTTATCAGTTATTATTGATTTGTTGAGAATTTCTAAATAAATAAATAAATAATAGGGATGGGCATGACATTCTCCGGGCTAGCACAAACCCTTGGCCACTGCTACCCGGAATTGACTTAGTACTAAGGGCATTCACATGTTTTCGATTTAGAAATCGATGAAATTGCCTTCAATTCCTACCCTGAAGAGCTTAAATTCAAATGGGAGTCATGGCGGTGGATTGCTATGCGAGTTCTCCTCTAGGAAGCTAGCTAATTATGCTCATGCCCCTGATTTTTAATTAAAAAGTGCGAGTCTGCGACATTTACATGGAGCTTAACTGGAAATCGCGATCCACCGAAATTAAGATAAACTGTCTCAAGCTCACAAAGAGAAATTCTGACACTACCTACATCAAATATCGATATATAATTCCCATTTAGAGTTATTTCGCCTTTTAAATCCAGGTTAGTCTCGAGATCTTGCCTAGGATAAGATACAAGATTTAAGAAGACCTAAAGTCATTTTTTAGAACAAAAAAGGGGGGTTGAAGAAATAGAAAATTGAGAACACCCATCGGGTGTAGAGATATAAGAACCTTTTGTAAATTTTTATGATTTTTGGAGTTGGTTGGACAGACGTGTGAAGAAAAGAAATGTGAACAAACCAGACATCGATGACCTAAGAGGACCCCATTACACATGAGACAAGCCCGACTGATGAGATATGAACTTGACCTTATCAAATCGTTCATCATAGTTTTCGAATTTTAATTGGAATCTGAATTGGACCACGTGGATCGGTCCAAGGGTGGGAAGCATGGTGGGTCCCCCCTATAATATATATTCATACATATATATGTATTAGGAGTGTCAATGGGTCGGGTCGGGTTTTCATGATACCCGACCCGACCCGAAACAATGAATATGTGTGATTGGCCCGACCCGGAACAAGACCCGAACATGATATAGCCGCACAATCGGATCGGTTCGGTTCAGTTCGGGTTCATATTTTATATTTTTATTATAAATTAAGGTTAAGTTACACCTAGGAGTGTCAATGGGTCGGGTTGGGTCTAGTCTCCACGCTACCCTACTCGACCCGAATCATAAAAGATATGTGGACTCTTGACCCGAACCAAACATGACCCGAAAAGCAAAAACCGGGTCGGGTTTCGGGTCTTTTTGGGTTCAAGCTAATATTTGACGATGTTACAATTGCTTAATTGAAAGTTATCGGAATTACCCAACCGCCTCCACCAATCCCCATCGGCAATAAATTGAGTGCTAATCCGTTCATTCCAAGACTGGAGCAGTTAAGATATTTTTTCCGTGTATCCACATACGATGCCATTCTATAGGAAAGATCTCCGGTCAATTCGTCCCGATCAAACGACGAGCTCAAAAAGGCCCCTCGCGAACATCGATTGCTCTCGACGACGAAAACTAAGGTCCGGGACTGGGAGGGTACCATGAAATGAATCTTTTCTTGTGTCCCAATAGTGCGACCTGGTTCTATCAATTACTTGATCCTTGGATGCAGTATCTCTCTTTCTCTCTAAATGTCTGTTCCCATGAAAAAGGCCGACTGCCATTTCTAATGAGACTGGAAATTTATTAAAAAGAACAGAAGCCGTTTGAAATATTTTTGCTAAAAACAGAGTGGTCACCCATCACCTCCTCCCCCACTCCCTTATTATTTGCTAGTACCTCTCATTGCTAACTGGGACAACGTTGATGCATCATCCTGTTCGCCGGCCCCAGCCTTACCCCTCTCTCTCTCTCTCTCTCTCTCTCTCTCTCTCTCTCTCTCTCTCTCTCTCTCTCTCTCTCTCTCTCTCTCTCTCTCTCTCTCTCTCTCTCTCTCTATGTGCTGCTGCTCCTAATGCTCAGCACATGAGGACGATGGAAAAGAGCACACGATCAGAAGCAACCAAAATCCCAATCACAGCATACATTGAACCGATCTACACACAAGTAAACCCAAGCAAAAGAACAAAAACTTTTTGTTCACGCCACGGCGAAAAAGCCAGGACGAAGTTGAACGACAGTGCTACAAAGTGAAATGTGTTTCGGTTCTAAAAATAAAAATATATGTGTTTCGGTTCGGTTCGTGTTTAGAACACGAACCGAACCTAAACCATTGAGATACCCATTTGCTTAGCTAATACCCGAACATGAAATTGACCCGGCCCGAAAATACCCAAAACTTTGGGTCGGATCGGGTCGGTTCGTGTTCCGGTTCGGGTATATTGTTTGGTTTTGACACCCCCAATATGTATATTATACGGTTCTCAGACATGCACTGATATAATATTAAATGTGGGGATAGAATCCTAAGATGAGATGCATTATCCCTCACATAAATTTCTACAATAGCCCAACAAATATCTCTTCACTTTTTATCTCTCATCTAACCTTCCATGCAACGCCATGGAAGATTCGTGCGCGTCTATGATGTTCCGCTCGTCAATTGCAGCTTTTCTCGAAAAAATTGTCCAAAAAGTTTTAAACTTATTGCACTTTTCTCAATTCAGTTCTAATTTTTTTAATTTTGCCAATTGGATTCTAAACATTTTAATCTTTTACCAATTGAGTTCATCCGACCAATTCTGTGAATTCATGGACGCCAATAGTACTACATATGACGGCTGACACCAACATTGACATTTTCAAATGATTTTTTAATAAAAATTTTATTTTTTTTATTTTTCTCCCTTTCCTTTTGCCTGTGGCTGATCCATCGGCCACAGGCAGTGGGCGGCGAGGGTCGTCCTCTCCAGATCTGGCGAGGCTAGTCCTCGACGCCCACCTCCCGTGGCTAGTGGCCATTCGTCAGCCACCAGCAAAAGGAAAGGGAAAAAATAAAGAAAAATCAGAAAATTTATAAAAAATTATTAAAAATGTCAACGTCAACGTCGGCTGTCCTACATAGCATTATTGACGTCCGCGTCAGCAATTTCCATTCAAAATTGACCGAATGGACTTGGTTAGCAAAAAGTTAAAATGTTTAGGATTCAATTGACAAAATTGAAAGGTTTGAAACTGAATGCAATAGATTTAGAACTTTTTGAATAATTTTCCCACTTTTGTCCCATGATCAAGAAACTTGGAAAATGAAAAAAGGCTCGACATCAAAGTAGACCAGCTTATTAGTCCGATAGATCATGCTTTGAAAGAGCGCAAAAAGGGTTTGACATTAGTAGTCCGATCCGGCCAAAATTGATCCGACGACGGCCCGACCGAACCCGTAAATCACTAGTGCAGTACTTTTTATTTTATTTCATTTTATTTTTTTGCAAAAATAGTGCACTGCTTTTTAGATTGGGCAGATCTGAGTACCGAAGTTAGGTTGGACCGCGTTGACTCCACAATTGAGCAAACCTGCGTTGAATAGAATAACACAACCGAACGTGCCAAGATCCATTCGATTTTTCTATCATTTTTTTCTTTTCCAGTTTCTCCTACGAGCCTAGCCCGATCCTCGGATTAGATCCATGAGATTAAATTAAACCAAAGTACGTGA